TGAACTTGATTTGCTATATATCAAAGTAATTTTGATGAAGATTCTTTCAAGTCATACCGAGAGATGAATTTTAGTAGACTTGCACAAGTTGTGAAGGGAAGGTTGCTGCCACACAGGGTGACATTCCACTTGATTGACAGCAGGTTGAACCTTTGCATATTTGAGCAAGTCCTGCAACTTCTTTGTGGAAAAGTTGCTCACTCCAATCGCACGTGCCTTTCCAGATTTATACAAACCCTCCATTGCAGTCCAGGTTTCTGGAAGGCATAAGGGCAGCATGATTTCAGGATCAAACCCGCATGCGCCAGGTTTTGTTCGAAATGGCCAATGCATCTGTGAAGCAAAGCAAAGCTCACACTTCGGCTCAAAACACAAAAACTGCAGATGAAAGTATACAAAAGCTACTGTATGACCAACATATTTTCCATGATCTAATGGGCTGTATAGACAAAAAATTCTGGGCAAGGCTGGTCCCAATCAAACATGAGCCTAGATTTTTTTTTGAGACAACACAAACTGTGATTAAAATAAAATGTCCAACTGTAAATTATAGAGGCATACGAGATACAGATCAACATAGTCGAGTTGCAAATCTTCTAAAGTTCTAGTCAGAGCTTTAGGAACGTCTTCCGGTGCATGGTCGCTACACCTGCAAATTTCAAATTGAAGTCAGATATATGAGGGAACATTTCTCTTTTAACTGATCTAAAAATTTACTCATTTATATTCATGAATTGTGATCAATGGAGAAAAGAAAATTGCGTAAAAAAGAAACAGATACCATAGTTTAGATGTGATAAACATCTCATTGCGCTTCACAACACCAGTGGAAAAGAGTTCCTTCAGAGCTGCACCCACCTGCATCACAACAAATATGAACAAGAAAAATAACAATTACATAAAAACAACAATGTGTAGAGCAAACAAACTTCTTTTGTATGAGGAAATTTTATCACCTCTTTTTCATTGTCATAAACTTTAGCGCAATCAATGTGCCTGTAACCAGCCTGAAAAAATGTTGAAACCAAAGATTTTATGATTCCAGAACTCAAAATGTCATATTTGTAGCCACAACTAAAGACTAATTAAATTAACAAAAATAAATAAAATGTAAAAGTAGAACCTTGACAGCGGCAATGACAGCTTGACCTACAACACCTGGTGGAGCTTTCCATGTTCCAAGGCCAACAGAGGGCATTTTAGCTCCAGTATTGAGATCAAAATGTGAAGGGCCATGCAGAGTTTGTTTATGATTATTCATATTCTTCTAAAGTAAAACAAAAAATATAATTATATATACCATATGAAAGAGTTGTAGTTAGATTGGTATTTAAATGAAGAACAAAGAGTAGATTTATAGAATACCTATGGAACCATAAATAATAATTAACTTTTTGCAACATAGTTTGACAGACCCAGAGATGTTTTCTGCTTCAGACTCGACAACTGGTGGCTACTACACTTTTTTCAATTTTCAAACCTTTGTATTGGTGGCTGGTGTCATTTACATAGGGATTCACGGCAACAAAATTGGATCTTATGCTTGCTTGACGAGGAGGAAATAATATATATTATAATTTTAGATGGTTTTGTTTGCCTAAACTTATTTTTAAATGGTAAATGATATAATATACAAAATGAGATCAGAGGATTAAGGGGCGGCCATGCTCCCAAGTGGCCTCATCTTCCATCTCTCTATCAAGCTAATCATTCTTATTTTAACAGAGTTGAAAATGAAAAATTAAAAAATAACTGAAAGCATGACAATTGGCAGTAAATTAATAATATTTTTACACAGTTACATTTCATATGCTCGTGCATTAAAGCACAGGTAAAGAATTATTCAAGGTAGATGTGAGGATAGGAAAGATGATGGTCTGCAAAAACTGATCATTGATTCCAAAAATACAGCCATTTTTTTTTTCCTTTCAATTGTTAGGGTATGAACTATGAAGTGCATTCTTTCAAGGATGAAGGAACCAAAGCAACATATTATTTTTCTGTGATCAGTTCCATCATGAAGATAAAGTCAACTGGCCAAGAAACGAGTGAGGCTAAACAAGCAATAAAGGAGCAAAAGATACATCTCTTGAAAATTAAAGTAATCAAGAAGTGCTTCCATCTTGATATATAAACGGGTTCAGCACAAGAATGAATATCAAAATCGAAATGTCTTGAAATGCCTATAGCCTATTAAACTTCATGGGAAACATAACCCACCAAAATCTCTCACAGTAAAAGAGTACCAAGCAGCGTTAAGAACACTTGAAAAGTAAGATAAATACTTAAACACATAAAAAAGATGTAGATGGAGCACCACCTTATAAACAAACCACGAAAAAAGTCATGGCTTGTTCATAATATTACTTTTGAAGAAATTCCTGGAGGTTACACAACCACCTCAAGTATTCTTTACTGTCTTTGTTGACCATGTACTCGTGCAAGAAGTTTGTTGTGCTAGGTTTGATCCCTCTTATCTCTAGATATTTATGGAAAGCCTTCTGCAAGTTTTCATCCAAATCACTAGAAAAAAGAAACAAAGAAAAAGAACAATCAGAAAATGAAACCAAAAAAAAAAAAAAAGAGAAAATGTATATGAAATTAGAAATGTTATTTTTATTATTATGACGTGCTTGCTTATGCTTACGTGAAGTCGGGCCCTTCATAAGCAAGATAATCTCCAGAACCTCCAGGACTAGGTTGCTTTATTGATAAGCTATCAATTGCAAGCTCATCAGGGTAGGCAGATACACAAAATTCCAGGCGCACGCCATTTTCTTTTGATATATATACAACCAAAGGCGTAATTGGCTGATCATTAGCCTCATTTTCTTTGCCATCCTCATCTTCAGCTTCATCCTCATCTTCATAAGGAGCAGGCATGTCAACTACCACTTTGATAAGTTCATCCTGATACTCTCNTCAAGTATTCTTTACTGTCTTTGTTGACCATGTACTCGTGCAAGAAGTTTGTTGTGCTAGGTTTGATCCCTCTTATCTCTAGATATTTATGGAAAGCCTTCTGCAAGTTTTCATCCAAATCACTAGAAAAAAGAAACAAAGAAAAAGAACAATCAGAAAATGAAACCAAAAAAAAAAAAAAAGAGAAAATGTATATGAAATTAGAAATGTTATTTTTATTATTATGACGTGCTTGCTTATGCTTACGTGAAGTCGGGCCCTTCATAAGCAAGATAATCTCCAGAACCTCCAGGACTAGGTTGCTTTATTGATAAGCTATCAATTGCAAGCTCATCAGGGTAGGCAGATACACAAAATTCCAGGCGCACGCCATTTACTTTTGATATATATACAACCAAAGGCGTAATTGGCTGATCATTAGCCTCATTTTCTTTGCCATCCTCATCTTCAGCTTCATCCTCATCTTCATAAGGAGCAGGCATGTCAACTACCACTTTGATAAGTTCATCCTGATACTCTCTTGTGAGTAATACGGTTCTTTCTCCAGGATTGTCCTGAATTTTGAAAGGAAACCCATCCGGAATTTCGTCTTCCTGTTCAGATGTCAGTAAAGAAGGAGAGTAAAAAGATCATCAAATTGGTCAGCAATCATCTCTCTAAAACCTATTTCACTTAAAAGAAAAGAATAAGAGTATCTTCCCGCCATAAAATTCAATTGTAAGCAAAATAAGATGTTTGAATAACAACCACTAAGGATAAGAAAACCAGGAAAAGAAACACAAATATATATAGTCTTTACAGAAATTTCACAGCTAAATCTTTTACGATACACGCATAGAAATACGAGAAACTTTGAGGTCAAAATAAGATGCCATAAACAATACACCCGAACAATTTTATTGTTTAGTGATCTCTACCATGGAATCAGTATATGTTCTCTGATAGAAAAACCTGGGATTTATGCAGTAGCGCTTATGGACTATTTCTTAAAATTTAAAAACCAAAATTCCACACATTAAGTTGGAAAAAAATAATCACTTTGTAGCTACCTCAGATATAGTAAACACACATCCCTAATTAAGAAACAAGTGATTACTTATGGAAGATACAAGCATATTTGTTATTCTTCTAGTTTGCAAAATCCAAGATATTTAATAAGAAATGTTTATAAGAAGCAAAAAACTAAATTTTTTTTCCTTTAATTCAAGAAAATATAAAATAATTGTATTTTAGGATCAAAGTGGAACTTAAAATACAAGATAAGGAAAAGAAAAGGAGATAAAGAAAAGGAAAGCTTACGTGGGGTTTCTCAGCGCATTCAATCTCGTTACCGAGGATTCCAAGGACGTTCTCATCGGAGCTTGGTTCGGTAGAGAAGTGTAGAAAGGGAACGAGATGGGTCCGATTCAGAGTGCCCTTTTCAACACTGAGAACGGCGGAGATTACACTGCGGAAGGTTCTTGGAGATCCAACGGCGCGGACAGCGAGAGGGAGGACGGAAGAGGATACTCTGCGAAGCATCAAGTTGAACGCCATTGTTTTTCTTTTTGGAGAGAATTGGGTGAAGAGTAAATAAAGCTGGTGAGGGTTTTGGCGTTTGTTAGGGTTTGGGGGAAGGGTTTTAGGCTTTTATATTTGGCGTTTGTTAGGGGTTTGGGGGAAGGGTTTTAGGATTTTATATTTTCTTCGCCCTTGTTTTTACTAAAAATTTTTAGTTTGGGCTTGGTTATGGGCTGTAGCAAATAATAGAGGCCTTAAAATGACTTATATATATATATATATATTTATTTATTTATTTATTTTCCACCTCTCATCTATATTACCCATTCCTGTGATTAATGATTTTAATTTTTATGGTTTTTTAATTTATCTTTAAACTAGAAACAACTAGTAAGATCCTATAAAAAGAATCCAAAACCACAAGGATTTCACTTGTTCATGGATTATATTTCAATTCCAATATAGTTATATAAATGGATCTACTTTGCTCATGGATTTGGAGAAGTGACTACAATGGCGTGGAACACACGGAAAGAGACAACACAAACAACAAAAATTAAATGATTCTCAAGATATTGAGGCACTAACAGAACTTTTATTTATCTAGCCCTAATAGAATTTATACCAGAGCTGTGATGTTTATCAAAGGCCAATCAATGCAATCGAAATCAATTACTAGAAATAAGCAGAATCTAAATAAAGACTCATTACTTCACTACAAAGTCTCAAATTTCAAAAGAGCGAACATCGAAAGAGCTTTGATCGGTATCAAGGCTATCCTCTTGATCTCCTTCTAAATATGAAATACTGCATTTCCTCAAATCTCACCATCCCAGAGTTCTTCAACAGACCTGTATACACCGAAAGTGTCGTGGGTAAATGAAGTCCCTCTTATCAGCCTAGCCTGCAGAATTGAAAACCAAACCATCGGTCAGAGAAGGGTTCACCAAACTAAACCTTGCAAAAGCATTATATACAAGCAGCTCAAATATTCAAATTGATACATATCCAGGGCTTTTATAATTTAGTATGCTGAACATTTTTAACACCAACCTTATTATTAAAAGATTTGCGACCGCAAAACCTTAAAATCACACCAAGAATAGGAATAATAAAGATCACAACAAAAACAAATATTACAATACAATAGTTACTTGCCTGCTCAATTTCAGAAAACTTGGCAAATAAATCATCAGGTATAGACCAGCCGTAGACATCAAGGTTCNTTTGGAGAAGTGACTACAATGGCGTGGAACACACGGAAAGAGACAACACAAACAACAAAAATTAAATGATTCTCAAGATATTGAGGCACTAACAGAACTTTTATTTATCTAGCCCTGCTAGAATTTATACCAGAGCTGTGATGTTTATCAAAGGCCAATCAATGCAATCGAAATCAATTACTGGAAATAAGCAGAATCTAAATAAAGACTCATTACTTCACTACAAAGTCTCAAATTTCAAAAGAGCGAACATCGAAAGAGCTTTGATCGGTATCAAGGCTATCCTCTTGATCTCCTTCTAAATATGAAATACTGCATTTCCTCAAATCTCACCATCCCAGAGTTCTTCAACAGACCTGTATACACCGAAAGTGTCGTGGGTAAATGAAGTCCCTCTTATCAGCCTAGCCTGCAGAATTGAAAACCAAACCATCGGTCAGAGAAGGGTTCACCAAACTAAACCTTGCAAAAGCATTATATACAAGCAGCTCAAATATTCAAATTGATACATATCCAGGGCTTTTATAATTTAGTATGCTGAACATTTTTAACACCAACCTTATTATTAAAAGATTTGCGACCGCAAAACCTTAAAATCACACCAAGAATAGGAATAATAATGATCACAACAAAAACAATATTACAATACAATAGTTACTTGCCTGCTCAATTTCAGAAAACTTGGCAAATAAATCGTCGGGTATAGACCAGCCATAGACATCAAGGTTCTGCTTTATCCTCTCTTCATTTGTGCTTTTGGGAAGCACACTATGACCCATTTGCAGGCCCCAGCGCAGAGCAACTTGTGCAGGAGTTTTGCCTAATTTCTCAGCAACCGTATTTAGTACTGGATGCTTGAGAACTTCACTTTTGAGCCATGTTGTACCCGGAGAACCCAATGGAGAATATCCCTAATAAAACAATAAATAAAGTTGGCCAAGATATCAAACTAAATGAAGAACTTTCCAATCATATATAGGTAAAAAGATAATCCAAAAGCAACAAGCAAAAACTGAAAAAATACTTGAGAATATGCCCACTTACAGATAGGTGAACACCCTTAGATTTACAGAATTCATGTAGCTTATTTTGCTGCCATGAAGGATGGCACTCCACTTGGTTAACAGCAGGAGGCACCCGTGCGACTTCCAACAAATCTCCAAGCTTCTTTGAAGAAAAATTACTCACACCAATAGCTCGAGCCTTGCCAGCATCATAGAGTCCCTCCATGGCTTTCCATGTGGCAGGTATATTTGGTGGAACAAGATTCTCAGGCTTGAAGCCAATAGACCCTTTCTTCATGCTAACAGGCCAATGAATCTTCAAAAATTGGCAGCCATTTAAAATTAAGAATAGTTCCTCAGTTATGAATCAATATATTTATAAAACATATAAGCTACCAAAAGTAATATACAATCTCAAACTACAAGATGAAGGTGACGCAACAAAGCTCAAGGGATTAAATAATTTGGTTGCAACTTCTGACAGTCCTCCACAAATTCAAAATTTAAGTACATGTTTTAGATACAATAAAGTCCAGCACAGTTTTTTTTTTATTTTTTTTCCAAGTTAGGCTCCCAAAAATAGCATAATAGCAGTACTAAAGCATGGACTATGACGATATAAGCGATCCATGCTATTACATGAAGGGTATATGGTTCATCAAGAGACACCATCAAAGATTATTAAATAAAGAGACAACAAGGAAATTATGGTGGTTAATGAAAGTTAAGAAGATTGTCTGAATTAGAGATACATTGGTGGTCTATAGAAACCACAGTGCTAATTTTAACAGATAAAACAAGGCTACAATCTTTAATCAGGAAAGAACATACAAGGTATAAGTCAACATAATCAAGCTGCAAGTCCTGCAAAGTTTGGTCCAATGCCTCTGGTACATCTTCTGGTGCATGATCAGTACACCTGTGTATGACATGCCATTAGTAGGGATTTGAAACACGATATACGTTTTAGTAGAAATACGCAAAGGTCCAAAATCTTTTAAAACTTGATAGTAAAAGGCAATTAATTAAACATAAAGTCAAAACAAACCAGAGTTTAGAGGTAACAAATAAATCCTCACGCTTAACCACACCATCTTGAAACAATTTCTTCAGCACCGAACCAATCTGTGCAATATACGTTTATTAGATCTTAGGATCATAATCATATATAGTACTCACAACAGTTAACCAATTTCAAAATATGGTAATTACCTCTTTTTCATTGCCATAGATTCGAGCACAATCAATATGGCGGTATCCAGCCTGCAGCGAGGAAAATAAACCATAATTAGGGATTGAAAAGATCGTTATATTACAGTGACAAATATCGGAAATGAAAAAGAAAGGTGAGATTGAGAACCTTGATGGCAACGGCAACAGCGTCACCAACGACACCGGGATCAGCCTGCCATGTGCCTAATCCAACAGAGGGGATTTTGGCTCCGGTGTTCAACTCAAAGTATCGAATTTCATTTGCCATTTTCGAAGCCGAGGTGCGTGCAGTTTTACTTTACACACAAATAGAAAGAGGGAGAGAGTGCGTGAATAGGGTAAAATGAAACGGCGCTCGAGAAAGCGGGAGATTCCATTCGAGAGGTTTCATTCATTTTTAATTGACACGTGTGTAATTAACTACATGGTTCTACATGTTTGTAAGATTAAATTTATCATCATCGTAGTGAAGTCAATTGCTGACCGTGGGATTGTCGATTAAATTAATGGGGGTGTTTGTGAAATGCGAATGCTGTTAACGTAACAAATATTGCTTCTGGATAAAGGTTGGCCACAGCATCTACCAAGTTCAATTTGGAGATCTTCACGGGGTCGGAAATGAAAGTGATGTTCAAACTTCAAATTTGATTCTTTTCATTTTTTTTTTTCTTTTTTAAAAACTGTTGGGATGAGCTTATGCATAAAATTTCAATGGCTATCCTTATTAGGAACCAATGAGGAATTTAAACTCAAAAACTTTTAAATAATATATCTAAAAGTCTTTATCGAATCACTCGACTATCCAAAGATAATTTTTTCTATCGTTGGTTACTCATTTTATCAAGAATTTTATCAAATGTAAATTATTGTAGGTAGGGGTGAAAACCGAGCCGAACCGCTCGAGCTCAGCTTGGCTTTGGCTTAAATTTGACTCGACATTAATCGAGTCGAGTTCATGTTCGAATAACTCGAATAATCTCATGAGTTAAGTTCGATCATTGTACAAAAAACTCGACTAAAACTCGATTAACTGAACTTAAAATTCAACTTTTAGATACCGAGTTCGAGTTCAAACTCGATTCATCAAGCTCGACTACGCTTTAACTCGAACTCAAAATCGATATTGTAGCAACTGAGTTGAGTTCGAATACCTAGGTACTCGACTCGACTCGATTTCACCCCAGGAGTGACTCACATTATTAATAAATATATAATATTCATCTCATCTCATTCTGACTTTACAACAAACCATTCTTGGAATCTAACGGCACAAATAGGAAGATTTTATTGAAAGGAGTCATGTCTTAAATCTCGGATTTTGGTTCTAGTTCTATGTTTCCAAGGATGTTTATTCCTCAATCCATTATTCTGAAGTAAATAAGAGAATCTCGTTCGTCCTCTACCACAGACAAGCTCAAAGCACCGGAGTTTCAATAATATCATGGCCATGCTTCCCCACTCTCCATCCGGATATCAACTAATGAATTTGCTCATATCTCGCCATCCCAGAATTCTTCAAGAGACCGGTATGGACCATACGTATCATGGACAAATGAAACGCATCTAATTAGCTTAACCTGCATATTGAGAAACCTTTGTCAGAGAGAAATTTATTCCAAAACAACTGTCTATGACTTGCCTCAGCGTCATATAATCTCAGATAATCAACACAAACTAGAGCTAAGTTCAGTCACCCAATCAAAAACCTTGACAGGAATGGTGCAAATGATAACTTTAATATTCTATACGATGATTGAGGCCGTAAAGAGAAACTTTAATACTATTCCTGTTTGAGTTGGAGAATACAATAGCTACTTGCCTGCTCAATTTCAGAAAACTTGGCAAGCAAGTCATTAGGTATGGACCAATCAAAGATGTCCATGTTTTCCTTGATCCTTGCTTCATTTGTGGTCTTGGGAAGTACACTGTGACCCATTTGCAGGCCCCAACGGAGAGCAACTTGTGCAGGTGTTTTGCCTAATTTATCTGCAACCATATTCACAACTGGGTGCTTGAGAACATCAACCTTGATCCAGGTTGTACCAGGAGAACCTAACGGGGAATATCCCTTTCAAAATTAAAACAAAAAAAGGTAAATAAGACAACAAGCTGACAGAGATAAAAGTAATTCAATATAAGCGTACTTACAGATAGGTGAATTCCCTTGGATTTACAGAAAGCACGTATCTTCTTCTGCTGCCATAAAGGGTGGCATTCCACTTGATTAACAGCAGGAGGTATACGTGCCACTTTCAACAAATCTCCTAGTTTCTTTGAAGAAAAATTACTCACTCCAATAGCTCGAGCTTTGCCAGAATCATAGAGTGCCTCCATTGCTCTCCATGTGCTAGGTATATCTGGTTGAATAAGGTTTTCATGATTGAAGCCAACGGACCCTTTTTTCATCCGAGCTGGAAAGTGGATCTTCAAAAATTAAACAACCATGAACATTTACAATTCAGAATAGTGTATTCAATAACAGATCAGTATATTCAAAAGCTTAAATTTAATTTATATAAAATTCAAACTATGCTTGTCTCTGTTATGTATGTTAGCTCAAGGGGGTTTACATAATTTGGTGCAACTTCTGAATCTCATCAACCTCAACAGATTAGATGGTACCAAAATAACCCCTTTTTAGAGGTGCCATAGCTCAAAACCCATATTTTAACTACAGGGTATACATAGAATGAGGTCCAGCGACAGATTTCTCTCATTTAGGCTCCATGAATTGTATATTAGCTATAATAAAGAATACACTACATTGCTATGTTTTAACAGATGAAATAAGGTTCCATCATGAAATACTTACAAGGTACAGATCAATGTAATCAACTTGCAAGTCTTGCAAAGTTGTGTCCAAAGCTTCTAGTACATCTTCTGGTGCATGATCAGTACACCTAAATCATATAAGAATATAAAGCATAAATACCATCCTTATTGATTTTATATGAGATTAAAGAGACAATACACAAGTGCACAATATCACAGAATCATCACTACATGGTAAATCTTTAACATCTGGATCCATGCACTCAATAGCTACGGATAATATAATGTTTGGACTCAATTAATATAAACAACAAAGTAAAGACAAACCAGAGTTTGGAGGTGATCCACAATTCCTCACGCTTGACCACTCCATCTTCAAACAGTTTCTTTAGCACTGAACCAATCTGCAGAAAATGTAGACTGAAGTCACTAAATCATAGTATAATACAAAGTACTTTGCAAAAGTGAATTTAAGCATTTCAAATACTGAGACAAGAATAATTAAAACTATGAATAAGTACCTGAACTGAGCTTTTATATCAAATTTTTAACAGTATAACATGGTCATACCTGTAGTTATCAAGCAATCAACAGGAGGATATGTGCATGCACACTCCTACGAAAACTCAATCTTCAGATTTTAACATAATATGTAAAGAAAGAACAACGTCCAACATGAATTCTATGAAATGAAAAACTGTTACTAAATATAAACAGTTTGAATCACTAATGTATCTACCGCCACAGTTATTCAAAGCAAATCATACAATTTGACATGCATTCATAACAAAGAGCAAGCCCCAAAATTGGGAAGACATTCTATCTCAAATTTAGAAACAAAAGAAAGCAGAATTTCAGTCCACAAGCTTGGATCAATAGGAACACATTCAATTAAATAAACCATGTGCACATAAATTTATGATCATATTTTCTGGAAACAATTACAGAAAGGAAGGGAAATAAATTTAAAATTTAAGAAATTTTGAAGCTGAAACCACCACATAAATTTTTAAAAATGGAAACATGTTATATTATTAACACATACTCAGAAGCAATCTAAACCCTAAGACTGATGAAGAGAATGAAAATGATGACAATATCACCAAGAGTAGCCCGGGCATATTTAAAAAATTAGCTTAGCACAATATAATTGTAATTACCTCCTTCTCATTGCTATAGAGTCGAGCACAATCAATATGGCGATATCCAGCCTGCAGGGACAGGAAAGCATATTCATAATTATGGTTTTTTTTTTTAAAGAATAAACGGATGCACCGAACAGCCATATTATGGCACCAAATGCATATAAAGATGAAGAAAAATGCTATCCTTACAAAGACCCATACAAAGAGAGTTACAAAGTGATATCATTTAGAAGAAAAAAACAAAAAAAACGGAAAAAGAGAAAAAGAAAGAGCGAAAGAAATCATAAAAATCAAGAGTGGAGATTATCTTTATATGCCCTTTTGTATGTGTCTTTGTAAAAAACATGGTCAATGATGAATAGTTGTTTTATATATCTCATAATTCACTCAGAACATACAACTCTTTAATTAATTCTATCCTAACTTAAATTTTGTATCAATCTCAGTTTAACTTTAATGAGCTAAGTGTTACAAATTCTCTTCATTTTCACTAAGCAATTCTTTGAAGCTCCAAACAGCCAGAGGACCAATAAAAAATCAATGGATAGACTCAAGTTAGAGATCAGAGAAGAGTAAAAAACCTTGATGGCAGTAGCAACAGTGTCACCGACGACACCAGGATCAGCCTGCCACGTACCTAATCCAAGGGCAGGCATTTCGGCTCCAGTGTTCAACTTAAAATATCGATTTCCATTTTCCATTTTCCAAGTAAACAAAACAAACTCGGTGCTTGGGTGTAGATTCGAAGCAGATAAAATAATAGACGGAGACTGTGTGGAATGGCCACTGATAATAACATATAACCGCCCATCTTTTATTATTTAATCGCAAAACATGTTTAACACGGTCGCAAGAAGACAAATCTTATACCTCCAAGTAAACATGAATGCGCTTTGACTTGACATTCTGATTCGTCGAATCTTACATACATCGGTAAGATTTTTCTCTAATCATCACCGTTCGTCGCCATGAAGGCAATTTCTGACCGGTTGATTTTGTTGAGTAGAAACTTTTTCTACATTCAGATGAAGATGGTGTTAAAAGTTGGGGACCCCTTTTCGATATTGGTCCAGTGAAAGGAACTAAACTTGATGTTATTGGAATATGTTGTATCATATTAAAATGACTCCGGTAGATCTACACTGTTGATCAGAACATTTGCAGACTTTGCAATAAGTGGATGGAACATGGATGTGGCCAAGATAGATTACACTTGGCAGCATCTACGATATTTTCCTTTGATTAGTGATGCCCTGAATTCTCCTTTTTCTTTTTCTTTTTTAATTAGTTCATTGGTCTTTTATGCTTGTTTTAGATATCAATTCACCAAATCACAAATTTTTTATAAGCAAAATGGATGCAAGGAAAATTCAACTACTTTTTTTCACAGAAGGCGATGAATAGATTTTATTGCGTTTAGCTTTAACTTGGAACAACATTCAAGAAAAGCATCACATAAGATCTAAGTTCATCCAATCTGCAAAATCACCACACAACTTAGTTTATCTCTCTCAGATGCTCAACAAAGCTCTTTTACTGTTTTACTCTTTTGAGTTTCAGAGGGAGAGTCAATTTTATTCAAGAGTTCCAGAAGGTCTAAGACGTTTAATTAGTAAAATGTGGCTCAAATCCCACATTTTGAAGAATCCAGTGTTTCTTCATAATTCGCCATCCCACAGTTCTTCAACAGTCTTGTATCCACCCAGAGTCTCATGCACAAATGCAGTACCCTTAATTAGCCTCCCCTGCAAAAATTAACACCATGTACTCAATAATTACAACAGCAACCCAAGCTTATTTGACAGATGAAAAACCAAGTGAAAGCACTACTTGCCTGCTGAATTTCAGTAAACTTGACAAACAAGTCTTCAGGTATAGACCAGTCAAAAACATCTAAGTTCTCCTTGATCCTTGCCTCATTTGTACTCTTGGGAATCACACTATGACCCATCTGGAGTCCCCAGCGAAGAGCCACTTGTGCTGGAGTCTTGCCTATTTTCTCTGCTACCATAATGATAATCGGATTCTTGAGAACATCACTCTTGATAAATCCTGTACCTGGGGAGCCCAGTGGCGAGTACCCCTGCAATAAGGTGAATTCATTAGAAATTTTTGTGGACAAAATCTGCATGAACCTATCCACTATGCATCAAAGCATTTCCTTGAAGTTTATTGTGTAATTGCACACGAATAAGGAACTTGTTTGCAGGGATCAAAACCTTTGCAAGCTCCCAAACAAAACCACATTGTATTAAACACTCACAGTTAGGTGAACTCCTTTGGATTTACAGAATGCATGGAACTTTTGCTGCTGCCACGAGGGATGGCACTCCACTTGATTAACGGCAGGAGGCACACGTGCTACTTCCAACAGATCCCCAAGTTTCTTCGAAGAGAAATTACTCACTCCGATAGCTCGAGCCTTACCAGAATCATATAACCCCTCCATTGCTTTCCATGTATTTGGTATATTAGGTTGGCTAAGGTTTTCAGGCTTGAACCCAACTGAGTCCTTTTTCATGCTAACCGGCCAGTGGATCTTCAAAACATTTCAACATTTAATAATGAATTAATCCAAATTTAGCCCAACTAAGTCATAGTATTAGTTTATACTTAACAGCAATCTAGCAGATGAGTCCAAAGACAAACCAAAAATTGAAGCATTAGAAATGTAGAAGGGATACATACCAGATATAGATCGAGGTAGTCAAGTTGCAAGTCTTGTAAAGTTTGATCCAATGCCTTGGGTACATCTTCTGGAGCATGATTTGTACACCTGCAAATATAAAGCCAGAAAGGAACATTATGATCTACGACTAAAACTGGCTGCCTAATTCTCACAAAAAATAGCTCCTGGAGGCTGGAACAAACCAGAGTTTGGAGGTGATCCATAAATCTTCACGCTTCACTACACTTTCAGCAAACAGTTTCTTCAGCGCATCACCAATCTGTATGAACAACAAAATTAGAGAAAGAGGTTCAACAATAAAACAAATTTTATTAACAACAATAAACAAAAATGAAAATAGAAGAACAATTACCTCCTTCTCATTGCCATAAGCCGAAGCACAATCGATGTGACGATATCCCGCCTGCATTGAAACAAAACAATTTGTAGCCAGCAATTAACTATCATATAAGTTGATCGAAAAAACAGCTCTTCTGTAAATTAAACAACAACAAAAACAAAAACCTTAACGGCGGTGGTAACGGCGTCTGCGACTACACCAGGAGCAGACTGCCACGTTCCAAACCCAAACGACGGGATTTTGGCTCCTGTATTCAATTCAAAGAATCTAATTGCTGCTGCCGTTGCCATTTCTCAAAAGCTTGTCGAATTTAGAACCGCTTGCAACATGAAAAAGAACAGAGCAACAGCCACGCTGATACGGATTATATATAGCAAAGCAATAGCCTCAGCTTATGTCCTCGGTGACGTCAAAGCCAGAGTTTAATACATCTTGCCCTTTGACTGAACCAAAACAAGAAAAAATTACCAATTTTAGTGTTGAATGATAGTGCTTTGTCAATTTTTTCGCTTATAGAAACTGTCAGTACGTGAGAAGTCCTTCTCAGAATATGACATTCTTTGTCTCGTTTTGACTATCCTCGGCCGGCCTTTGGAGCATCGTTTTAGATGATTGTATTTGTCCCTGATACCTCAGCCTTTTTCTTTGTTTTCTTTTTCTGTATTAATTACTATTTATTTTCTATTGTACGTGAATACTCAAGTTTTATATTTCGATGAATACAATGATGGTTGATCAACCCATTTTCGATTTAGTCTTAAGCAAATTTTAAGCAGAAAATATAGCAGCTTAAGTAAGAAATTGAAAGTACAAATAACAGTACATAGCATTTCAGAGTTCACACTCTCTACCTCAAATGTTGAACAAAGCTCAATTTATTATATACTCTAAAGTTTCAGAGGAAGAGCATCTGCTCAATTCGAACTCAGCTGTGAAACAATGAAAATTTAATTTCTAACTCGAATGTCTCAAACATCCCTTCTCTGTTTGTAATCATCATCATTCATCCCAAAGTTCTTCAAGAGTTGTGTATGCGCCAAAAGTCTCGTGCACAAATTCAGAACCTTTAACTACCCGTTCCTGCATATCATGTAAAACAAAAATTCAATCATCTAAGCTAGATATGAAGCCTTCTTTAAACTTGTTCGTATCTTCACTAGACCGTCTTTCTATAAATATAATGATACTGATACTACAATTTATGTGGGCACAAGAAAACAAATAAAGGTAATATCTTGACCAAGCATTAGTTAGTCTCGTCTCGTGTTTAAATAAATGGATACTGCAACTGCACATAAGACTGCAAGAAAATTGCAGATTCAGGATGAAAAATGCCTTGAACATATACAATGTCAAATAATCATGTCCAGAAATCAGTATGCATTCTACATTGAGAAAGAAGCAATGATGGAGAAAAAGAAAATCACTTGCTTGCTTAATTTCAGAAAGCTTGGCTAATAAGACTTCAGGTATACACCATTCAAAAATATCAAAATTTTCCTTCAACCTTCCCTCATTTGTGCTCTTTGGCAGAATGCTGTGACCCATTTGCAGGCCCCAACGAAGAGCCACTTGAGCAGGAGTCCTGCCCAATTCCTGTGCAACCATATTGACAACTGGATTTTCAAGAAGCATATGCTTTTTACGAGCAGAACCAAGTGGTGAATAGCCCTGAAAAATAAACAAAAAAATTTCATCATGCAAGTTATTTCATAATCAACTGATAAGATGTTTTAACAATACACAGGGAAAGAAAGCAGCCATCTCTAATCTTTTGTCAGAGTATTGAAGGGTAATTTCTTAAGAACAGCAAACTCACTGATAGGTGAATCCCCTTGGATTTACAGAATGCATGTAGGTTTATCTGCTGCCATGATAAGTGGCATTCCACTTGATTAACAGCAGGAGGCACACGTGCAATTTCCAGAAGATCCCCAAGCTTCTTTGAAGAAAAATTACTCACTCCAATTGCTCGAGCCTTGCCAGAATCATAGAGTGCCTCCATTGCTTTCCATGTACTAGGTATGTCAGGTTGGGTAAGGCCTTCAGGAATCCCAATTGACTCCTTTTTCAAGCTGACTGGCCAGTGGATCTTCAAAAGAAAAGAAATTCATAAAAACACAAAAGAGAAATACTTATGCCGCTCCCACATGTCAATTCTTCAAGCTGACAAAATCTTATTTGTTTCAGTCGCCTTTTTTCGTTTGTGCATCTTTCTTTCTCATTTATTTGAAATATGTCACACAATAACATATTCGATTTGATTCCAATGGCAAATCAAGAGAGTTAAAAGTAAAGCACAAATTTGAATTACAATTAATCCACGACATCTTCATCTGCAATTACAGTTTAAAGTATAAAGGGAGACTCAATTGCGATATACATACTAGATAAAGATCCACAAACTCAAGTTGCAAGTCCTGCAAAGTTCTGTCTAATGCCTTTGGTACATCTTCTGGCAATTGATCAGTACACCTATGCAGAGAAAATCATGTAACTAACTGCTGAATGAAATCGCATTGAAATAGGAATTTCAATTACTCAATCCTCTTGTTAAAAACTAAAACAACCAAAATAAACAGAAAAAAATTAGGAACGAACCATAATTTGGAGGTGATCCATAAGTCCTCCCGTTTGACTACATCATCATCAAGCAACTTTTTCAGCGCAAAACCAATCTGCAAATCAGAAAACAGTTTATCAGATTGTTAAAGTCAATGTCCTGAAGTCCAACCGCAAAATTTGGAAAGGGCAACTAAATAATTCACAAATTAAAGTATGATCATTCCTAAAATTATCAAATTATTCATAGACTAACATTTTCAACAAGAATTAAAGAAATTACTTATAAATTAAAGAAACAAAAACAATTAAATTAAATACCTCCTTTTCATTGCCATAAATTGCAGCACAATCAAAGTGCCTATATCCAATCTGTATCAAAACACGTCAACAGCAAGTTAACAAGGAGAGATTGGTAAATTGATGATTTAACGTATTTTACTTTTTTACTGTATAAATACAAAATTAAAAAAATAATAATAAAAAACAGTAAAGAAACAAACTACCTTAACGGCAGTAGAAATGGTGTCGTCGACGACAGCACGTTGAGCTGCGTATGTGCCCAGCCCAAGCGACGGGATCTGAGCTCCAGTGTTCAATTTATAGTAACGAATCTCTTTCGCCATTTTAGACAAATCACGACACTCTTAACTTGAAATGTTCAGTTGCAGCCACTCTTATAGACGCGAACGCCGGGCCTCTGCGGGCCGGACTTTTTTTTTTTGACCTTTTTTTTGGTCTTTAGCAAACGTCTTAGTCATAGCGTCATCCTTTGCGTGGCAGAAGTTTCACTTTGGAATTTATATAATGATTGGCTAGCAGTATGTTTACCTAATTGCCTCAATATCATTTATTTTAATACCAACAATTATATTTACCCAATTACCCCTATGCCGTTTATTTTGACACCTTAACCAAAAAAAAAAAAAAAAGGGGGGGAAAAAATTTCCGTTATTACTATAATTACAAACTGTAACAATACCAACAACAGTCAACAGTACAATACATTTTGAGTTCACCCTTCATCACTATCTACCTCAAATGCTGATCAAAAGCTCTTTCATTACGTACTCTTCTGAGTTTCAGAGGCTAGAAGACAAAGGCTCCATGAGCGCTACTGCAATTCCTCGTGCACAAATTCAGAAGCTTTAGTTAGCCGCTCCTGCTTATATTTCACCATCCCAAAATTCCTCAAGGGTCCTGTATGCACCAAATTTCTCGTGCACAAATTCAGAACCTTTAGTTAGCCGCTCCTGCATATGATGTAAAACAAAAACAGAAATTAAGAATGCTTTCGTAATATTATACTTCACAATTAATCATGTGGAATGGATGAATACTTTAATAAAACCACAGACTGCAAGATTAATTGGCAGGGAGCTCTTGTAGCCTATTATATGGAGTATTTGCAGATTGTGTCACAGTAAACCTCAGAAAAAAAAAAAATGAATAAATAAAGCCGCAGCTCGAATGGAAAGTTCAATAATCACAGAAGGAAATTACTATGCTTTATATATTAAGAAAGAGACAGAAGCAATGATTAAAAGAAAAAGAAAAGAAAAGAACACTACTTGCCTGCTTAATTTCAGAAAGCTTGGCTAATAAGTCTTCCGGTATACACCATTCAAAAACATCAAAATTTTCCTTCAACCTTGTCTCGTTTATGCTCTTAGGCAGAACACTGTGACCCATTTGCAACCCCCAACAAAGCGCCACTTGCGCAGGAGTCTTGCCAAATTTCTGAGCAACCATATTGACAGTTGGATTTTCAAGAACCCGATGATTCTTAGTAGCAGAACCAAGTGGAGAATAGCCCTGTGAGAGAAGAAAAAATCATCACATATTTATGTTTACATAATCACTGATGGGGTGTTTCAAACAAAAATAAAGTGGTCCATATTTGAGGGTAATTGCTTTTTGTGTATGAAATATTCACAATGAGCATGTTTCCTCAATTATAACCTTTTCAATCCCGATAAGAACAGGGAACCACTTAAAATAACATACTTACAGATAGGTGAACCCCCCTGGTTTTACAGAATGCGTGTAGTTTTGGCTGCTGCCATATAGGGTGGCATTCCACCTGATTGACTGCAGGAGGCACACGTGCAATTTCCAAAAGATCCCCAAGCTTCTTTGACGAGAAATTACTCACTCCAATTGCTCGAGCCTTGCCTGAATCATAAAGCGCCTCCATTGCTTTCCATGTGCTAGGTATGTCAGGTTTGGTAAGGTCTTCAGGCTTCCCCTTTGACTCCTTTTTCATGCTAGCTGGCCAGTGGATCTTAACAAAGAAACAACAATATTGAACGAAGAAATAAGGAAAACACAAAAGAGAAAAAATTATGCCACTGCTGATTTTTCAAAGTTAGTTTGAAGCAGATCATAACATAACACATCCCAGTAACTCCAAAGACAAATTAAAAGAGTTAAACTAAAGCAGAAATTTGAACAACAATTTCTCCAAGACATCTTCATCTGTCATTGCAGATTAAGTATAATGGGAGGGTCAATTGTGATATACATACTAGATATAGATCCACATAGTCAAGTTGCAGGTCCTGCAAAGTTCTGTCTAATGCCGTTGGTACATCTTCTGGCAAATGATCAGTACACCTACGGAGAGAATGTCATGTAACTACAAAGTAACTACACACATATGAAGGCCCATTGAGATATAAATTTTAACTACTCACTTCAACCAGGAAAAACTTAATAGCCAAACTAAACAAAAGAAAAAATGAGGAACAAACCAGAGTTTGGAGGTGATCCATAAGTCCTCACGTTTAACTACACCTTCAGCAAACAACTTTTTCAGCGCATGACCAATCTGCATGATCAGAAACCATTTCCAGAGATGAAAAAACTGTTTCTTAACAAGAAGCATGATTAAATGATAGCAATCAATGTCCTGAATTTTGATAGCACGACACTATCAACCAGTTTGGTTCGTGCGCCGAAAAAAATTCGAAAATTAATGTGCAATCTCAAAATCTGACATTTAATATTCAAAAACTGTGCTCATCTGATATATAAAATTGTTCTCAGAATTAGACACCTACGAAAAAAATATCAACCCCTTTTTTCATTATCTGCTTTTACACTCATTTTTACAATCGAATCAGAAAACTCATTTTGAAAACGTCTGGAGGTTCGACCAAACAACCTCTTAAAATTTAAGAATTTAATTTGCAAAATCGCATTTAAAGTGAACTTGTTCCTAAGTAACACCAGTTTAATTTGCTAAACCCAATTATAACACCATTGAGTTTGCCCAAATTATCAGAGACTAAATTTTCAAAAAGAAATATAAATATTTATGATTTTATTCAGGGTTAAAGAGGTACAATATAATAACAAAAATCTCTCCAAAGTTTTTGAAATAACAAAAATAATGTGCCTTTAATAAATTGTTAATTAGCCCTTAAAATTTACTCTATTATAAATTAATAAATATTAACAAACTGTCCTGTTATAGTATGTTTTAACACTTAAAACTTAACATTAGAGAGATTTATGTAATTTCCGAAACCTCAAAAGGATTTTTGTTATTTTATCATAACTCGGGGATTAATGCATTAACCCTAAATTTTATTAACTAGTAATTATAAGTAAAGTGATGAAACAAAAACAATAAAATCAATTACCTCGTTTTCGTTGACATAAATTTTAGCGCAATCAATATGTCTGTATCCAATCTGCATGAGAAGTCAAAAGAAATTAACATTAAACTAACTACACCAACTAATTACTGTAAATTAGATTAAGATGATAATACCTTAACTGCCGTTGTGACGGCGTCGCCGACAACACCAGGTGGAGCAGCACCTGAATACGTGCCCAGCCCAAGCGACGGTATCTCAGTTCCGGTGTTCAATTTGAAGTATCTCAACTGTTTTCCCATTTTAAACAAAAACGCATGACGCACCCACACACTCTCACCTTTAATTTCCAACTGCAGCCATATTTTATTATAAGGCTTGGCTTGTGGTTGTGGCCAGCAGCGGATTCAAAAATATGGATCAATATAAAATGTAGTAGCACCGAATATTCATATTTTATATTTTTAGTTAAAATTACTTTAAAGAAAAAAAATACATATAAATATATTTTTTTTAAATTTGGCCCACCTGCGGTACACTCTAGATGCGCCCTGGTTGTGGGCTTGTGGCCCTTGTGGGCGCCACCAGCAGTGTGGAATTTTCGTTTCTGAAACGAAACGTCTTAGCTCATGTTTTACGTGGCTAATACATGGCCTTCCACAGAAAAATAATAATAATAAAAGAAACTCCTTTTAATCATTTATCGATGTGCGTGCCCGTGACCGCTTCATGATCAAAATTCAAGACGCTTTGTACCATTTAACAACAATTGGCTACTTTTATTATGCCCATAAGCAAATCCTACCTTCAAGATTTTACCTAAACAAATTCCTTACCTACTACATTCTCATGGTGAATCCACTAAGCTTAATTAAATGCAATATTATTTTTACACCTAAGTTTTGATGTATAAAATAAAAGACGGCTTAATATGATTTTTTTAAATTTAAAATAAACTTAATTAGCATACAAGTGAAAATAAATTTCTTTTTTTAACCGATCTCTATGTGGTTAGATAGTCAATTAAAACTCTTGCGTATATTATTTAAGAGGTTTTGAATTTGATTAGCTTAAATTGTTAATAAAAATAATCACTGAAAGATTACTCAATCGTTTAATTCAGAACTATAAGAGATTAATGAAGGTACCCATACCCCAATTAGAAAAAAAAAAAAAATTTGCCCTTTCTTAAAAATAAAACAAAGCTATATGTATTGAGGTCCACGGGATCTATGTATCGACATCAAGGTGGGACCCATCACCGAACCTTTGGGCCGGGCCTATTGCTGTCGTGTCTAGATTTAGGTGGGGTCCAACACCACACTCTGTTAGTTTCATTCGACCTAAAAGCTGAATATCCACTGGTATCACCACCACACTTAATTCGTAATCATAACCGTCAAAAATTTCTCATTCCGCTGTCCGCATAACACAAATGCAAGACGATGAAATGATTTCAAATCAGCGGAAGAGACCACCGTTATAGACTGGTCCTTGAAACACTAGAATATTTGTAGGACCCACAGAACAACCGCAGACGAATAAAGGAAAACAAAACATGGACGTCTGACTATCAGTCAGTGTCATTAACCAATATTTAATTAGGAAAGAAAGATAATAATTATAATTAAGACTGTAATGAGGAACTCAATTATAGGGATTCTTGAAGCTAACTGGTCGACAATTTAACAATATTTAGATGTTAAAGCAAATGAATGTTTCGGTTCAGTCTCTTCAAACCTCGAAACCCACTTAGTGCAACATTCCAAAACATGGAATGGAGGTGAATTTGGGAGAGTTACATTCAATCTAGGGTTAAGTCATTGGGGGAAAGAGAGAGAGAGAGAGAAATGAAGGAGTTGATTGGGAGTCCAGGGACATTGAGTGGGCTAGTTCTGAGATTAGGGCAATGTGGATTTGCGGCTGCTTCCATTGGAGTCATGGCCTCTGCTGCTGGCTTCTCTAGCTACACTGCTTTCTGGTATATTTTCATTTTCTTGCCTCTTTAATTTTTTCTTACGATTTGCTTTCTTCTGTTTTTGTTTTTGTTGTTGGGTGCGACACGGATTTACTGCAAGTCAACTTTAAAAAAAAAAAAAAAGAAGAAGAACCATTGGGAGTTGAAATTTTTGTATGAAACGTTCTGTGACTTGCATATTTATATTAGTCGCTTAATTTCACTTGGTTTTTCTCAAGGCCATGTTGTAATTGATCTAAGCCAAGTATGTTTTCTAGTTTCAATACTAGGCATCCATAATCCATATTCAAGTGTGTGCTTGCTGGAATGCAAGAACTGCTGTAAAATTGCGGACACTCGAAGTTAAAATTACATCCGGAACATCTGAAATTGACCGTTTGCATTTGTTGTGTAATCATTAGGCATTATCACTATGACTCTGTTCTTTTTAGTAGCTAATAGTATTTGTTAGGGATTTAGCACCTTGTGAGGCTGAAGAATGGACTTCGATTTCTTGCCAAATGGGTAAAGTTGTTCAATTATATTCAAGTAGAAGGTATATACTATGTCCTTGAGAATGGTTCCTATATTTTTTCAGTTAAGTGGGTTTAGGCTCTTGAGAAGTAGAATGATGTCCTTTTCAAGCTGCTGACTTGACATGGGGGAGTACTTTGGTTCTTATCGTAGTTTATGTTTCATGAAATCTGGTGCATGCAATAATATCGGATTCTAATGTTCTAATGTAGTTTATCTTCTTCATGCTTTTGATGATAATTTCTCTCCTGTGGTTCAGCTATTTGATTGCATCAATGGGGCTTCAAATGCTGTGGAGCTTTGGACTTGCATGCCTTGATATTTATGCTTTAAGGAGGAATAGAGACCTCCAAAATCCAGTCCTAGTCAGCCTGTTTGTTGTAGGTGATTGGGTATGTTACTTGCTCTTGGACACTTCTTTAACTTATTTTCTCATACATGAAAACATGTGAATTCGATTCTGCAGAATTCCTCATATTTTAACACCACTTGTAACTATTGTCCTTATGTAAGTTTATATTTGTATTGTTCTTAATCATGGCAAATATCTGTCATTCTTCAAAATACTAGAGGATAATCAAGTTCTAGTAACCAACCAGGGGAGGGGAAGAGGTAGCTAAAACATTGAAGAAAGAGGAAAAAGAGGAGAAAACTACAGGAAACTGTATAATCCTCTACTTAATCATTTTGTTTGTTCAAACTGAGTCTCAGAAGAGTGGATTCTTCAAATCTTCATAAATTCATTCTGTATTTTTTGTATATTTCTATAAAACTAACTAGAATTTTTCCTAACTGTGAAGTATGTAGTTATCTGGGTCTCCACAATTCAATTTCCCCCTTTTCTTTGTACTTGTTTTTAGAATATGTAGATTAATGTTATTTAGCCCACTATTTTTAATAATAATTTTGCAAACTACAATTACAAGGCTGAAATGGCATTAAGCCAATGCAGACACCAATCCATTGTCCTTGAGAACATTGGTTTTCTGTTGCTTTTATCTTATTGTGTACACTAATTATTTTTATTTTGTTGTCGACATCGTCGTCATCATAGTCAGGGTAACAAAATTTTGAGTTTAAATTATGCAGGTGACAGCAATGTTATCACTTGCAGCTGCATGCTCATCAGCAGGGGTAACAGTTCTGTATGTGAGAGACTTGAATTTTTGCAGGGAACAAGATCATCTTCTTTGTGGCAGGTTTGAGATTTCAGTAGTTTTGGCTTTCATCACCTGGGCTTTGATTGCCATATCATCTCATGTGATGTTCTGGATCTTAGCCTCCGTTTAGACCACTCAATGATTGGGGCTGACTAGCTGCCCACAATCAAAATATACACATGACTTGTATCTTTGTTTGACATGTAAATGTTGCCTTGTGTTTCTCTCTTTAACATGGTTTCCCAGTTCAGTTGCATTTATTTTGTCGACTTTGCTTCTTGCTGCCATGGATTGAGTTCCAGCTTATAATGTTCTCGACTTTGTTGCCCTCCGTTCAAGCTAGCCATGTGGATCAAATAAGACATGGATCTTGGAGACTGGAGCGATCCCCCTTGCACTTGTATTTGTCCCATTTCCATTTCTGTGATGGAGAGACTGGTGCCAGTTTTTATCAGGCAATTAATACCAAAGCTTCAAAATACAGACATGTCTTAAGCATCTGTGTTGATTACCATTAATTAATTTTGTAGAACGGTAGATAATGGTTTAGAAATCCACCAGCGAAATGACCAGTGTCGAACCAAAAACTAACTAACTAACCATCATCCAAAGCCGGCAAAATAGCTCCACCTGCCGGTAGACACCACAACATTCAGATTCCTGAGCCTCCAACTCGTCACCATGGTTTCTCAAGTCGTGATATTCCCTCACTGTTCGGGACAATGTGTTGTTTTGTTGGCTAAATGTTGATTTTGGAATATAACTATGGATAATTTGTCGAATGTTGGTTCTGTAATTTACCATATGTTGTCCGGTAGATGGCTCAGCCATCAATTTATATGATTATTGATGCATGGTAGATTATTCATCTATTCATTCATATGATTATAGATGCATGAAATTCTATTCCATATAACTGGAAATAGAACATATAAATGACTAATTATTTTAGCTGCATTTCAAAATACTCATCCAACGATGATATTAACAACTCTTCGGAATTTTACGCAATCACACAAAAAGATAAAAAAAAAAGAATATATTTATTCGTGATAAGTTCATAACACTCAAGTAAACACAAGAATGAATAAGTGTAAGCAAATTTACACAAATCCTAAAGCTAGTATCAACAGACTGTCTATTGAAAACCAATGCAAAACCAGCCGGGGAAAATGGTCAGGCAACGATAAGTCAAGACCACAATCCTGTAACTCATTCAATACAAACAGGTAACACTGGTAACTAACTTTTTAAATGGTTAAACGTGGTAAACGTTCTATATAAATGAAAACTGGGACCAACATATTAAACAGATCTTAGTACCAGATAGTTTCACAATTATTGTCACATGACGATCTCAGGCTTCAAAATGCTAGATTTTATCTCCTTGTGCGGCAAAACAACACCCCCATTGCTGTAAACTTCATCAGCAACATGAACGTCTTCTCCCAAGATTGTCATATTTTCCACTCGAGCCCACCTTTCAACAGTGGAATGCCACCCAATGATGCTACTAGAGATGCAAGCATGTTTCTTGATTCGAACTCCACGCATTACGGTGCAGCGTGAAAGCCTAACACCAGGTTCAATTACACATCCTGGACCAATGGCCACATCGGGCCCAATGAGACATCCATCTCCAATCTGAGCACTCTCATCCACCAAAACATTTCCAATTATGTGTGATCCAGTTGCCAATTTTGACGAGGATTTCTTATGCAAGAAATCTAGGTACAATCTCAGGCCAGTTATGTAATCCTTTGGTTGTCCAATGTCCATCCAAAAACCAGGTAGCACCATAGCATAAAGCTTATTCTCTGCTGCAATCTTAGGGAATACCTCTTTCTCAATAGAGGTAGGCTTTAGTTCGATCCGGTCAAGAATAGATGGGTTCAACAAATAGATTCCAGCATTAATTTTGTTTCCCACAAATGTTTTTGGTTTCTCAACAAATTTTTCAACTTTCCCAGTAGTTTCTTCCATAACTACCACACCATATTTTGATGGTTCGTCCACCTTAAAACAAGAACAGAATTTCTTTTAGAATAATGGTACATAGATTAGAATGTGACAAAGAGCAAGGTTACCAGATTTAATTTACCTTGGTTACCATAATGGAAGCTTCCCCTCCATGGCCTCTGTGAAATTCAATCATTTTTTTTAGTGGGTACTCACTTATAACATCACTGTTGAGGACAAAGAAAGGCTCACCAGAGTCATCAATCAATTTATCCCTTGCTAGAGCCAGGGGACCAGCTGTGCCAAGTGGCTCAGTCTCTTGTGAGCAGGTTATCTTAATTTCAAGTTTCTTCTCAAATTCTTTCAAGAAATTCAACATAACCTGAAAGTAGATAGGAGTAATAAAGCTCAAGCAATGAGAAAATCTAGTTGCCCGGATGACCCATCATCATCAATAAGATTTAAAGAGAGCATGTCCATTCTATGTTACCTCTGGTTGATAATTGATGGCTAAAACTACTTCAGTCACTCCCACAGCTTTGAGAGCTTCAATCTAGTTAAGAAAGAACACATTCAAAATGCTTGCAGTTAATATATCTATGCAAGGTTAAAAATGGTCTCAATAGCATCATTCATAAATATGAATATATCATGGTTCCACTCTTTGAAGTACAAATTCACACTTCAATACAAGAAAATCAAAATATAACTTAACCATAAACTTATGGTTACAATTACGATAGATTCATAAGCAACAACTAAAAGTCAAGAATTGAGGCAAATTTGTAAAACTAAGATTGTCCAAGAACAATAATAATGTGAATAACAGGTGGATGCTAATACAATAACTAATGAAATAAAAGATAATGCAACTTGTGAGAACATGTTAGCTTAAAACATGCAGAAATGAGACTAGAATGGAAAAGACAAAATATACAAATTACACCTAAACAAACCAATAAAAACTTGTGAAGTAATACCTGGTGCAGTATCATGGGCTTGTTCGCAAAATCAACCAGTGGCTTTGGTACACTGAGGGTCAGAGGCCTTAACCGTGTCCCAAATCCTCCAACAAGAATAAGTGCATTCATGTTGATACCCTAAAAGATACTATTCTTTTGTTTCAATTTCTTTTTTATCCTGTGTTGTAAATTATCAGAGTCAGAAGAGAACTTGTTCCAAATTAACATGCAATGCAGAAAAGAAGGTACTTGAAATCAACATTTTATCAACACTGTACTAATCTGAACTTCACACAGTTGATCCCATTATCATAATTTGTGCTAATCTCAGCAAACAAACAGGCTCTTTATTGACCCAATGAATAAAAAGCACCAAATTGACTGCTACAAGAATGGTCCAGAACTACAAACTAATTGAATAATAAACGAAGTCGGATCAAAGCCACAGAAAAGAGGAATCTATTCAATTAATTGGCATAAAAATATACAAACACACATTACAGAAAAATATAAATGGGTTTTTTTTTGCTGAAAGATGAAGATATACTAACTCTAGCTAAACCTTTGACAGAGATCCTAAGCGGGGTGGTGAAAATTTTAAACTTTTGCTTCTTAATAGAAGACTTTCAGAAAAACAACTACAGTCTTCTAACCCAGTGTAAATCCAAGACAAGATTAATTGTTTGTACTAAGTTTTAACATGAATTGATGGATGAAAGAGATAAAATACAATAAGATCAAATAAGGATAACCTGGCAATTCAAAACCCATCAAAAAATAGATCTAAAAAGCGAGATATAAGCGCTAAAAAGGAAAGATCTTGACAAAGACTTACAGTGACGTGAGTTTTCGGTTGTTGAGTTGAGCGGACAATGAAGGTTAACGAAATGGACTTGAGATGTAAACATAAAACAGTCTGGAGTCTGAACAGAGTGCGACTTCCTAATTAATATAATTCGTGCTCATTAAGCAGATGCACTTCTCCTTTTGTTTCGTAACCATAAATAATACTATACCAACAATCTTTCTTATAAATCTGTTGTGACAGTTTATAATTAGTCAATTAACAACGAGTCTCATATAAGTCTTATTAACTAATTATGAGTTAATCAATTACGAGTTATCATATCAAAATTGTGTACCAACAATCCTCTCTCGTAATCTTTCTCTCACAACCCTGACATGACAGTTCGTAATTAGTCAATTCACAACAGGTCCCACATAGGTCTGATATAAGTCCTACTAATTAATTACTAACTAACCAATTGTGAGCTACCATGTCAGGATTGTGAGAGAGGATTGTTGGTGTAGTATAATTCCATAAGTATAGATTATATTCTTCTTTAGATTCCATATAATTTAACAATTGTTTAATTAATTAATTATTTTTTTAATGTCACCTATCCAATAGAAAAAGTTAATAAGAAACAAAACGTTAACCAACCTTTAAGTGATCAAGTGATTTGATAAGAATTCTTGGTTGTATTACTCAATAGGTTTTGAGTTTGAGTCTCTCCTCGATTATTAATAGAAGTGAATATTGAAACTCTTATCCGACCGATAGGTCTAGGATTGCTAATAGGATTAGTTAGGAAGGTTGTTAATATGAGTAGACACTGAAGCTTTAATCCAATCGATAATTTTAGAGTCCCAAAAGATTAGTCGAGTTGTACTTAAGTTGTCCAAAAATCCTAGTTATCAAAACAAAAATTCCCTTTTTTATTAGAAAAATATCTCCTAACAAAGGATTGTGAGAGTTTGACCAGGCCCACGACCACGGGGCAACCCTTATTTTCCTTTAATATACTGCAAGCTTATGAACTTAGGGGGTGTTTGTCTAAGCTTATAAGCTGATCAAACTAGCTTATAAGCTCTAAAATTAAGCTGATCTGTTTGTTTATAACTTTTTTGAGCTTATAAGCAAAAAAAAATAAGTTTTGGAGGAGGTACTTTTTTNCGTCCATATTTGATGGACGGGCGTCCATATGAGTGAACGGCCGTCCAAATTTGATGGACGGCCGTTCACTAGAAAAAAATTATAAATAAATGGGAGAAGGCATTCCACGTCGGCCGGTACAAAAATTCGGTGTAAGAAATTCGGTGTCCGTAGTGTTGTTGTTTGTTACGTATGCACGAATAATTCTACACCGATAACCTTTGCTCGTAATATTTTTTTGAGAACCTGACGTGGTAATTCGTAATTGATCAATTCATAAGAAGTCTTGCATGGATTCTATAAATTAATTACTAATTGACCAATTATGATTTATCACATCAGAATTGTGAGAGAGGATTGATGGTGTAATATTATTCCATAAATATAGATTATATTTTTCTTTAGATTCCATATAATAATTTTAGGGTCTAACAAAATTAGCTGAGGTGAGAAGCCGTCCAAAAACCCTATTTATCGAAAAAAAAAAAATCCTTTTTTATTAGGAAAATATATGCTAATTTAACTGGGACAAAGGGTTGTGAGAGTTTGACCAAGGCCCACGGCCACGGGGCAACTTTTTTTTTTTTTCTTTAATATACAGTAAGCTAATCAACTTAAACAAGTAGTATAATTAGTATTAGTGAATAGTGATTTAGAGGGTATTTGTCTGAATATATAAACCAATTTATAAGTTTTAAAATTAAGTTGATTTATTTGTTTATAATTTTTATGTGCTTATAAATTTGGTTTATAAGCAAAAAAAAAAAAAAAAAAAAAAAAAAATTGAGAGAATCTACTTTTTTTTTTTCTTATAAATTAATTTGATTAAGTATATTATCACATTACTTTTATTTAAATTTAAAATTTCATCATATAACTTTATTTATTATTCGATAAAATAATATAGTACATTTTTTAATCATTTTAATAATAAAATGTACGTATAAACCATATTTTATCAAACGCATCAATTACTTATTAATCACTTATAAATACTTTAATAAAAAATATAATTACTTAAATTTTAAATACTTATAAGCATCAATTATTTATTAATTACTTATAAATACTTTAATAAAAAATATAATTATTTAAATTTTAAATATTTATAAACTCACATTATTTTATATACACTCATTGCTTATAAACTAATTTTGATTGGCCAAATAAGCTCGGGGAAACAGGCTCTTAGTCATGCTTATAAAATCCAAATTCTTACAATCATTTCCTTTGAAAGGAGAATCGATTCCACATAGTACAGGCCATATAACGTGTATATATAGAGATCTTCAGGCATCACTTCATTCTACATTACCAAAATTAACTTCACTTCTTCACCCTTAAACCTCTCCAAAACCCTTTAAAGAATTAACCGATCTACAAGCATGGCAACAACACTTGCTTTACTACCAAAGCCACGGTGGTCTGACGTCGCTGATGATGATGATGGTAATGGCGAGGATCTGAACTCTCGTCTTCTTCCTCCAACCGAAGTGATAGGTCCTGACGAGAATGGGATAAAGAGAGTGATTGAATACAAGTTCAATGATGAAAGAAAGATCATCAAGGTCACCACCGTTTCCAGGGTGAAAAAAATCAAAACGGTTGTCAATAAACGAGTTCTTGAGCGGAGGTCTTGGACTAAATTTGGCGACGCCGTGAATGAGGACGTCGGCACTAGGCTTACTGTCACCTCTACTGAGGATATATTGCTTGAAAGGCCCAAGGCTCCAGGTTCGTTTCTCCTTAATTTCACCTTCAACCTTTATTACTCTTTTTCTTTTCAATTTCTATCTGAGTTGTAATTTTTAATTCCAGTAAACACAAGTTCACAAGTTCAAGAATCAAGATTTAATAAAATTTAAGTATATAATAAAAGAAGAGTTTCTTTTATTAAGAAACATACTTATTTCCATATACATACCGCATAACTAGTGTTGGTCCATTGCATAAGTGAGTTTTAATTATCTAAGTAAAGAAACTATTAAGAATTGGGTCAGGGCATAAGAAGACATCTCTAAGATTCATAGAATTTCTTCTTGAATTACTATTTGTATATGAATACTTATTTTTAGCTCTGGTACTGCCAACAGGAAGCACAACTGAGGAAATCATAGCTGCAGGAGACTCTTTGGGCCAAAAAGGTGGGGCTATTCTCATGGTTTGCCGAAATTGTGGCAAGAAAGGTGACCACTGGACGGCTAGGTGTCCTTACAAGGATCTTGCTGCACAAGCCGAAGCCTCGAATACGAATGATGCTAATCCAAATGCAGCACCTTCTTCTTCTGGGACTGCCATGACTACTTATATCCCACCAAGTAAGAGAGGAGGTGCTTTAAGCAGCAGCATTAAAGGATCAGACATGACGCGAATGCATAATGATGAAAATGGGGTTAAAGTCAGAAACATATCCGAAGACGCTTCTGAAGCTGACTTGCGAGATCTCTTTGGTGTTTTTGGACCGCTCACTCGTGTTCATATCCTCTGTGATCGCAAGACTGGTTGTAGCAGAGGTATTGGCTTCGTGAATTTTGTCAAGAAGGAAGATGCTGTGAGAGCTATTCAAAAGCTTGATGGCTATGGTTATGATAGCCTCATCCTTAGAGTTGAGTGGGCTGCATCAAGACCAAATTAGAGAGATATTGCTTTCTGCTGAAGGGAATTTAACTCTGGATAATCTAGTTAAGGTGTTTAGGAACATTGAATTCAATTTAGTTTTCTTACTTGAACAAGTTACCATTTATACCATATCGTTGATTTGTTAGTTTCCTATAGCTCCTGAATGACACTTCAATTCTACTGTTATAAGCGTAATAATGTACATTCTTATTGCTGAATTCTCTTTTCTGTAGTTTCTCAGTTCATATTGTGTTTTAAGAAGTGATTTTTTATCTTTTATTTTTCACTGCATCACTTAACTGTTCTAACTAGGGAGCTAAAAAGGTCCTTAGAAGTTCAGATTATATTAGTGAATAAACTTGAGAGATCATATTACAATGGACAAAAGCCTAATTTTCACCTAAGTTCGTGGCACCAGTTGCTCACGGCGGTGCCAATTCAGACACTAGCCTTCAGCAGAAACCTTCCCCTTAGCAACACTGATAATGTATTCAATCTCATCGGCAACTTCTTTCATTGAAGGTCGATTCTGCCTTCGCTCATCCAAACAAGCCGCTGCAAGTAACCCCAATGCCTTAATTGTCTCCAAGTCTAAGTTGGTAGCTTTCTCCTTGAGAACTGGATCAACAGCATCCATCAACCTCTCTTCATCAATAATCTTTTTCATATAAACCACCAAGTTCACATTTTCTTCTTCTCTGTTAAAATCTATAGCCCTCTTTGATGTCAACAGCTCAAGCAACACAACTCCAAAGCTATAAACATCACTCTTATCAGTAAGCTGAAAATTAAGGTAATATTCAGGGTCAAGATAACCAAGGGTTCCTTGAGCAGTAGTGAAAATATGACTATCATTGTTTTCTGAAATCTCAACCAGCCTGGATAGCCCAAAGTCAGAAACTTTGGCATTAAGTTTTTCATCAAGTAAAATGTTGCTTGATTTCACATCCCGGTGATAAATGGGCGGAACTGCAGCCGAGTGGAGATAAGCTAGACCTTCAGCAGTCTGGTGAGCAATGAATAGGCGAAGATGCCAAGGCAGGGGAGCCCATTTACCATTAAAGTAACAATGTAGGTGATCAAAGAGTGTGCCATTAGGAATGTACTCATAAACCAGTAAGGGCTGATCAAGCTCTACGCAACAACCAAGAAGTCTCACGAGGCACCTATGGTTCACCTGGCATAGGATTCGGACCTCATTGAGGACTTGATCGGTGCCCTTGGTATTACCTAGCTTGGCACGTTTTATGGCTGTAATGGTTCCATCATCAAGAATGCCCTTGAAGACCTCCCCAAAGCCTCCAGATCCTATGAGGTTGTCTTTGGAGAAGTTGTTGGTTGCTTTTATTATTTCTTTTCCAGAGAAAATCTTGGATGATTTGCCATTGTTTTTGGTCCTTAACATCTCTTCACGCTCCCTGATAATATTCTTTTGAGCTTCTTGCTTCATGCGCTTGTTTTGTTTCAACACAAGAACTACTATCATGACGGCAAGCGAAATTCCACCCAATGTAGCAACCATGCCTGATAAATAAGAAAAAAATATCAGAGAATAAAGATAGGTTGACAAACATTTCTCACAAACTTTGACGTGACAGCTCACAATTGGTCAGCTCGCATTTGGTTAGACAGGATCCATTGTTGGACAGACGAAACCCATTGCGAGCTGACACATCGCGTTTGTGAGAGAAAGTTAGTGAGAAGGGTTTGTGAGTATAATATTACTGAATATCAGGTGTCACCAGCATACAAACATTACTATTCACCCAAATTTACAAATTTTTTTATGCCAAAATAAGCAAGGAAAAAGAGGTACAGGATCATTTAAGAAGAAAAAGGGTAGTCTCGTTTATCATTTTCACTTCAATTGCTAAATTTGCTCCAGTTCATCTTGACTTCAAAAAGACTTTGTATAAAATATTGAGAAATGGAGGAATTTCAGCTAGTGACATGTAATAGGGATAAAAATTAAGGTTTTTATATGGGAAGTAGTCTAGCACATACCAGCAATTAGCATTGTTTGTTTCTTTTGATGTTTGCAACCTCGCCCGTGCGGACATTTTTCACCTAAACAAGAGAGAAGATACAATTAACTACTTTTTCTGCTAGAAAAAAACTGTCTTCAAACTGTTTGCATAGCTATGTGAAGGACCTAGCAAGACTCAATCGTATTATACTATAATTAATTTGGAAATAAAATTTCAATATTTGCGGAATCGTTATAACAAATAGTAGATACTACAGAAGTATATATAGTTTAAGCAAATCAAAATAATGATATACTCACGTCGGCACAATCCGTTGACAGGATCCCAATCAAACCCAGCATTGCAAAAGCACCTTTTCTGCCCAGAATTCATGGGATCAACCAGGCACTTTGAATGTAATAAGGGTTTGCAATCTATTGGGAGCTTGCAAGTTGGCTCCTGTGGCAATCCCCACTCTAACTCCATTGCAGGGGCAGGCCACGTCTTCGTTGGCACCCAATGAGTGTCCAAGTTCACAAAACTCTGGTACGCTGCACATCCTCCATTAATATGGACCTTCACCACATACGAATTCTGCGAACCTCCAGTCTTAAACACACAACACAAAGATGTGCTCTTACAGAGAGGTGCATTGTTGTTAATATAGTCGTGACATATGCTGTTTGATGAACAATTTATAGGAGCTTGCAAATGTAACATCGCGTCCGAACAGTTGAGTAACAAAATAGTGTTACTACTTGTGATGTTAAATGGGAGATTGTCATCAAGCTGAATGCCTTCAGTTGCCATATCACTTGCAATGCAAGTCTTGCCAGAGAGGCCGGCAGGCCGGATAATTATCCGCTGGGTTAATGGATTGATATCTGTGATCATGTAGGATGATTTGTTGAGGGCATCAAACCATAGAGTGCCTGCAGTGCAACGAATTTTGTAGGCTTGGTCACCGCAATTTGGATCAGTGCTCAGCGGATATGGCACAGGAGTGCGTCCACAGTTCCCACAACGTACCACAGCCGAAGCAAACGTTGTGCAGGATAGCAAAGTCACTATGAGGATCAATATTTTGAGCACACTCCTCTTCATTGAAAGCTAAATGGATAGCTCTGTTGTGAACAGAAGGAGCTAGATAGCTAGATTTACTGGACTAAAGAAAATGCAAAAGACAATTATAATGGTCAGGTTAGAAACCTAGTCCTATAATATTTAATTGATAGAATTCCCTAATGTTGAAAATGCCCATTTTATGAGTTCAAGTGAGATGGTCTTTGCAACTGGGTTTACAGTGATTGGCTGCGTGTTTGCACGTGAGATGAAAATGGATGGACTAATTCTTTGGGAGTCCAGTGCGCAAATTAGGGGACATACTTCTAGCTTGTTACATTGTACAATGCTGGTTTCGGTTTTCTCAAAATATGTAACAATTTCTTAGGAAGATATGTATTTTCAATTCAAGAAGATGATATATAATATTAATAGTGCAACATCACAGTTATGAATACCAATGAACTAACTTGCTGGAAATTGAAAGAAATGCCAGGCCATCTTTATATATAATAATTGTGAGATACAGAAGTTCTTGAGAATTACCATACATCAAGACCTTGCATCACTTGTACCTTGCATGAGTATGTTCCCATGTCGGCTCAATATTTCAAGATCCAAAGCTAATACTAATTGTTTATTATCCCATTGCCATGTTTCCAGTAAACAATGACAGAATTCAAAGAAAGTACTTCTTCCAAAACGATTTCCATTGATTGTATCTGTCACATCCCCATTGTTAATACTAACTGCGTAGGCAGCACGAATAAGCTTTCAACCATTTCGGAAAACACAATAACCGATCTCACAGATTCGGTCCAGTCAGAGAGCCATCCATAAGTCCCCGAGCCCAAATCCTATGGAACTCAAAGCGGGTTCTTAACGGAATTGACATCTAAACATTCACACAGATCGTTATATTCCCGTATGGATTCCAGATCACAAAAGTTTCGAGAACCCTCCAGTGAGAAACTTTATCTGGTGCCAAATTGTGCAGATACAGCTTGTCTGTGGAGATACATCAATAATAATGATGGAGTTAACTATTTCTTTTTCCAATGGCTGCTGCTGCAGCTTCCGAGAAGACAATCTAACTGGAAACCAAGATTAAAGATTTGGGTCATGATCATCACCATGATGCGTTTTGTGTTTTTTCACTACCACAAAATGAACAAGCTTAGGTGAATTTTAACCATGCCCAAAAAAGATCGTATCATTATCCCAACACTATAGTCTTATCATTATAATTTTTTTTTTTTTTTTTTTTTAACTACAGCTATTGTGTAAGACTGTAAGTTCATGTATACCTTAATTGATTCATTTCTACTGCAACAGAATATATGATGTGCCTTATTCAGTTTTTGGACTAATTAAACTTTTGAGTAAAAAAATTCTTCTTTTGAGTATAGATGAAAAGAAACTTCACCGAAGTTCTTTCGTTACCATGACTGGAGCAGTTGATAAGATAAGTGCGTGAAGCAACTGCTAGTACTGGCGTCCTATAAAACAGAATGCTTTCTGCCTTTCTCATATCAAAATTTTAGCTTACGTTATGTATCAGAAATTTGCAGGAAAAAACAGGCCAATTTTTGCTTTTATTAGCTATTAAGTAACAGAGTAACAGTACTTATGGCTCTAAATTAATCAAGTTACTAGTCTTTTAAGCGAAGGTGGCTGCATATGAGGTATTATATGATATTTCAAGTAAAAAGATGAGAGCTCTCTGAACGTTATAAGCATTAGCTTTGGAAAGAAGAAGGATTGATAAGAGAGCTCTCTGCAATTAAAAAGTTTATAACCAAGATATCTTTTATTCTGAACAATTCTTGGTTCTACATCAAAGACTTTGGATTTTTCAATCTATACTTTGTTTATTTGTGGTAATGCTTCAAATTTAAGGAGCTATCACAATTCTTCTGAATTTGTCTTAAAATGACAGTATATTACTGAAAAGACTTTGGCACCACATCCACATATTGAAGTAGCTCTAATCCGATGAGCAACACTTTCGTTGCCCACCTTGGCACATCCAAACATCCTGAGACTTGGTAGTTCCAATGTCACTACAACTGATGTGAAAGGTAAGACTGCTGTTGAATTCTATGCCTAGGCTTCGATGATCAGTTGTGACGCAACGAGTTAGCATGATAAAACAAGGCTAGCATTCGGCTACACCTTTAAAATTGATAATAAGTCTTAATCACAGAAACTTAAGTCTTAAAATCTGAAATAAGTCTGAATAATTCATTGAATAATATCCAAAACGAAAAATAAGCTTATATACGGTGACAACCAACCCTAATTAGACTCCTAATAACAAAAGAAAATAAAAACTAAATTAATTAAAACAAGAAAACTCGAAATAAAATAGGAAAAACGTGCAGACAACTAAAACATCCCCGAAACACGTCAAAACGGTGGATTTTGACCTCGAAAACGACTTGCAACTAACTACAGTGGATTGTCATGTCGACGAACTCGAAATAAGCTTTCCAACAGTATCTTACAAGCCCTGTAACTCCTTTTGGATAAGAAGTTATGGCCGTTTGAATGGGACATGCTCATTTAGGACTTTTGGGCTTTACGTATGAACTTCTGACGTTCAACCCGCTCTATGAATTTATCCACCAGACGTTCCACATCAAACTGTTATGCGCATGTCGCCTGCTGGACTAATGATTCGCTGTTGATAGATGTCAATAAATTGGAACCACGCATATGCATCTTAAGATTTCTTAACAACCAGACAACCTTGGAGATGGTGCCCATAAAATATAGACCGAACCAAATTGGTGGAGTTTATGCAACTTTCTCTATGCTGTGAAGGCTTCTTAAAAACCAGGGAACTTTCATTATGGAACATTTTTATGTCAAGAACTGTGTGGAACTAATTATGGAGCCATATACTTATGCAGACAGATCAACTGATATTTTTCCCAGTATTATACTTTTGAATACTATTCGAGTGTGGTGATTCTTTTACACTGAAACTCAACATGAAAGGAAACGTAAGATAAGTTGTCATTATAATTTTCATTAATTACTGCAGCAGTCATGTAATTTTATCTATTTATCCTTTTATGGAGATGTCATGTTCTTAGTAGATGAAAATTATGTCTTAACTGATGGATAGTACAATCTGTTTGTAACAGAGGTAATTAATTACTTGCAGTACTATCGTTTTTAACCTAAATGTCCTTCTCAGAATTCTCAGGCTTAAGGAATTTGGTTCAAACAAGAAAGGATATGAACCAGCTGATAAAACTTATCTAAATCCAGAAAATGACTTATCAACTAAGACCTGTAGCAAACTCCAAAAAAAGCATGACACTTCATCTTTAGATTTTTGGACTAGGTCTCCAATGAGCTCAGAAATAGGTACAACAGAAGATAGCCCATTTGCCTTAAAGAGTCAACACAGATTTTAATGAGTGACGCCATGGATAGCACCTTCTCACCTTGTAGCAACACATCAAGGTAGACCTTTCTAGCTCCATCAGTCAACAGACGCAACACTAGCCCCAAACCCGTTTCAATGTGGACCTCCCTTTGCTTTCAATCAGAGAGTTAGGTACTCCTGCCTAAAGATCAATTACTTGCTAAATAGTGAGAGCTGAAGACATGTACCAGGCCTGCAACCGGGGCAGCAACCCAACTTATAAATCCGAAGTAGTTGAACTCCACACGAAAAAAAATTCTAGAATTCAATGAACGATTGAATACCAAAAAATAAATGAATTCATACTACAAAAGTGATATTTCTCTGCCATAACGATTAAATATCATTGAAGGATTTAAACTGAATTTAGAATAAATTCATTCACTTATTGTAAGAATAATCTGATATCTATAGTACTTTCCATAGACTCTTTCAAAGTAAAATATAACAAGTAAAATGAATTGCAGTGTTTGGCTGATTGAATTCATAAATATTTTCTTCAATTGCGTTCATAATTAGATTTTAACATTTTATTATTCAGTTTGTTGTATCTGCGGGGAGCTGCTGGCATGGATAAATTTAACTTTCAGAAATTTTGCTCTGTTATTTCTGCTTCCCAGGTCATGAGTACTATTGGCTAACTTTTCTTGTTTTCCACACACTTCTGTTCGAATCAAGAGCCCAGAACGATACAGAGGCAAAGAGTAATATACATTAAACAAGGCCCTTCGGCCATGAAACATAGTTACATAGACATTGTTCTGGAGATCACAAATTTATACAATATATCACAGATCTAACCTTCGTGATATTAGAACCTTCACAATTCAACAACACAAATTAAGCGTTTGGTCCCTTTGGTTTTTCCAAACGCCTAATTCTTCTATAATACCTTCAGGTTTTACACCAGCAAGGCAGCAACACAGTTGCTATGACACAGAGCATATGGCCCCTTTGGTTTTCCACATGCTTATTTCCTATAAGCACCATCCATAAAAGAAAAAGAAAAAACTATCATAAAATAGAATATCATTTCATATTCTAAACACAATTACCACAATTCATCACCATATGTAACAAGTTCCACGCCTTCAGCTTTCTTCAAGCATGGCACTTGCAACTCCATAAACCATTTTTTTTTTTTTTTGTTTTTAACTAAGATCATGCAGCAACTCGACGAGAAGTGAGGCGACAAACGGGAGATTGAACTCCGGTTGATATGATAATTTGTGTGGTAGTAGAAGCAGGAGCTGATGTTGAGAAGCCACAATCAGGTTGAAACAAATGCATATCAGAAGTCTGAAACCGACCTGAATCACCTGGAAGTCTCATGTACGAAGCCGATGGTGACTCACTCAACCATGACCCGAAGGAACCTTCATTTCCATTCTTGTATTGCATGATGGCTCTATAAACAAAAGGAATAAGACCCTCCATTTCTTTCCTTTTCCTGAGAAGACCAGTAAAGTGAGAGAGAGATTATCAAAAGTTGCAAATTTGGCCCTTGGTGTTGATTTGGAAGAGCGAAGACAGAGAGAGGATTGCTTTATAAGAGGGAGAGGAGGAGTAGCGACGTGGCGTAATGGGTTAAATCTAGCTCTTCACGCTAAGCCACGCAAGATTTTGAAGGCTACGTCAAACGCAAACCCGCACGAAGACCTTGAAAGTTATTTTCATTTTGAAAACTATGGCTAAACTACAGCCATCTCCATTACATCTCACCAAATCTTAGTGGAATCTTATGTTTATCCCCATATTTTAATTATATTTTTCCTATGTTTGTTTGATGAGTTTAAGCTTTTTTAATACGATTGGTCGGTTTCTCCTTCTTTATTGTATTTTTTTGAACCCTTCTGGCCAGCCATTTTCTTCTTGCTTGTATTATTTTATTTTATATATTTCTTTTTGTGTGTTTGTTTAGATGTGGTTTTAGAGTAAGGTTTTATAATATGAGTTGGTGGTTCTTTCAGGGTGCGCCACATGTTTGATTACAAGATCAAATGATATCATTCTTTGTTTGGCGAAGTGTCTCAAGTTAGAATTATACTTTCAAGATCAGATCGATGTAGTTGTTTCATCCGAATTTAATTCTTGTTTCTGTATATAATTATAATTATGCGGGAATTCTTCCATTGACAGAATCAACTGAAATTGGCAGACCATCATCCATTGGTTTCCAAATCTTTTGTTGTTCTTTTAATATAAAAACTTGCTTCCTAACATCACCCAGATTAGCTGGACTCCATTAACATTTTCAGGTTTCCTTTGGATTTATTCGTACTTTTGCTGGTTTTGTCTAAGAATTCTAAATGAATGGTCAAATGTTGGGGATTTGGATCGTTTGCTTCTCAAATTTCCCAATCTAAATTTTATCTTATTGACTTAATTGACTACCATACAGGAGATTCATCTCATCATTCAGAAACTTGAAGCTATATTTATGAATATATATATATATATATATATATTCCCATCAAAATGACAAGCTCATTGAAGTCGTGGCACATTGTAATTTTCACAAAATTTTATCCAAACCCACAGTACTGATCAAGTCATTAAAATTGACCAAATAATATTAAATTCTGAATACCCTTGTGGATTAAATCCTGAACTCTTAAGTTGATTAATCCAAAAGCATAACCCAGACACACAAAATCAAGAAAAAGAGTGTTCCCCATGTTGAAACTTGAAAATCAAATCAATGGAAACATATCTAAATCTAGTTGTCAACAATCTGGCCCTGGCCGACCTGTGTTTATGGATAACAGATTTTAGAAAACGAAACAACGTGTAAACCTGCATCTAAAAATGATAAGAACATAAACAGAAGATAAAAGAAAACAAAAATCAAAAAATTAAAGTCGCTGACATATTGAAGTTGTAAATTAGTAAAATGGGGTCTGCTTTCTTCATCAAAATAACCACTTCGTTGTCTGGATTGTAGATGCAGTCATGGTTGGCATCATCAAATCATCACACGGCTAGAAATTAACCATTGGTGTCGTTATCTTAATCCAATAAAAATATTAGCTTCAAAGAAGAGATCGAATCCATCCCTCCCCCGCCAAGTCCTAAGCAAAAGCCAAAAAACTGTGTGCGTTGAGGAGACTTTAGTGTGTTATTGTGGAGAGGGTTAGGTAAAGCCTGAAGAGACGATGAAGCCTCGAACTTTCTATTATTTATTTATTTTTATTTTTATTTCTCCATCAACTCTTCATATCCAACTTGATCATTTTTATCATCAATTCATTGGAATACTTTTCCTTTGACAAATTTAAATATTTTTCTTACAATATTTGGCTATTTGCATAAAAAAAATATATTTTTAGAAGAATTGTGTCAATAATATTGGGTTTATATCGTGGGATACTCAATTATAAGGGTGGTTGAGTGGTGCGATAGGGACTCTTGAATAAGAGATCTTGAGTTCAATTTCTCTCGGTTGTTAATATGGGTAACCACTTGTGGCTTTACCAGCCTGAAACCACTAGAAGTTTTACCTCTCGGTTAACTTCAAGGCCTTAGGGATCCCGAACCATTGTTTCGAATTTTTTTTGTTTGTTGAAGATTGGAATTGGCAATAAATAAATAAGGCAATTATGAAGTTCAAGTGGGGAAGGCAATTAATTAGATGAGTCATCTAGTTGTGAAATAAATTAAGATAAATGGTAACATTAAGTTATTGATTTAATCACTTTCAGAGTCATTTTCCTTTTGTGGACTTTGATTTTTAGTCTCTGTCTTTGGATTAATTAATAATGTTTCTAGATATTCTACTTAATGACATAATGAATCATGCCTTCAACAATGTAAATATTAATTTAAGCTTATAATCGCTCCACTTATCTAAATCATTCTATATAGTATTATAAAAATTAAATAAATGTATAATAATTTCGCCAATCTCGAATTAAATTTTATAAACCATCCATTTCATATGCCTGTTTTTATAAAACAGTTATTCAATTCATGGCCCATGGAGTTGAGTTTTTGACCCACTAATCCGCCCACTTATAAAAATGGGCTCAAGGTCGATCAAATATTTCTTCCCAGGTCAGATTTTTTTTTTTTTTAAAAAAAAAAAATTTATGTATGGGAAATAATTTTTAGCCCTCACCAATTTGATAAGTAACCTCATAGTTTATTTTAATGAAATTAAAAGGGTAATTTTATATTTTATATTTGAGAAAAAGTAATTTTATATTCTAAATCCATCTTATATTATTTAATTCTTAAAAAAAAAAAAAATGAAGAATCCTCTTACAAACAGAAAAATCCATCAATTTAATAATTAAATAAAGATGATATTATATAAATAAAATGTAACAAAAGGAAAATTTATTTCAATTATGTTCTTCTATTTTAAATAAATAGGTTTTATAAATATATTTATTATCTATGGGACAAAATAACTTAGTTTTAATTCGTTAAAAGATTGCAAGTGATTCATAACAAAAATTTTCTTTAATTATTCATGAAAAAAATGTTTAAAAAAAAGTTCGATTATATAAATAATTCCAAAAAAAAAAAAAAAAAAAAGTGATTTGTAGGGGAATATAAAAGTGGAGAGGATGCTATTATATAAGTTTTGAGATTAGAACATAAACTGAATATGATTTAAGAAAATTTCTAAAAACAATAAATCTAATTGAGGTATCCGGGCCACCCTCATGGTACTGGAACATTCTACAAGCTCATAGGGTCAAGATAATTGCACAAATATGGTGGTTACTTCATTCGAACACGAGACCGGTCGGGGGTCACTAACAAGTCAGACCTCTACAAACCATCCGGAAACAAGGGAAGATATTGATTCTGAACTCGTTTTTGTTGTTGTCATTTCTATTAATTAGTTCTAATATTACTCTTATAAATAGGGTATATGTTTCTTGGAAAAATGAGATTGATTAATTATTTGTTTGGCAATTCGATGCGTTTGACTTGTAATCTAAAAATAATTTTCAAAAACTAGAATATGACTCAATTTTTTCAGATGTATTTAATATTTGACGTTTTTATATTAAAAACTATAGAAAACTATTAAAAAAGGTTTTTAACCGTTTTATAAATTTACACTAGTTTTTAGTTGGGGTGTTCGGTTCCGGGTACCCGGCATTTTTTGAAGGAACCGGAATCAGAATCGAAACCAACGGTTCCTTGAAATTTGGAACCGGAACCGACGATTGCGGTTCCTAGGTACCCAAAACCGAAACCTGTAACAACGGTTCCGGTTCCGGTTCTGGGTACCCTATAAAATTATAATGACCTCCCAAAAGTTTTTAAAATGGCAAAAAAAAAAAAAAAAACCTCAAAAACTTACAAATACCCCCTCACCTGGAACTTGTTAACAAAAATAAAATTACAAATTATAAATTCAAAATTATAAACTCTATTACTTTGTAAAGATAGATTCTCAAAAGTCAAACCAACTTACTTTAAATGTTATGAAATATAAATATAAACGTATTCACATTACTTTTTCTACAAAAGTTTTTATTAACCCCCTACTCTTTAATTTTATTTTATATTAGTCTTGGTTCTCGGTTTCAGTTTCAAAAATTTAGAACCGGAACCTACCCGTTGACGGCTAGTTCCAGGTAGTAACCGGAACCAAACCCTGGGTATCCGCTGGTTCCGATTCCAATCGGTTCTTTCAAACACCCCTAGTTTTTAGCATTCTATCCGAAAATTATTTTCAAAAGTATTTCAATTAGTTTCTACTAAATGCATTTTCATGAGATTTGTTTCATCTCTTGTTTTCAATAACAAAAATCTGTATATAAATTCTATATCAAACAGGAATAAAAGGCATGATTCCTATTAGCAGCGATCATTTCACTTGCAAAAAATTCAAGAAAAATAATAATAATAATAATAATACAAATTTCGTGTAAACATCAGCAGCTTGAATCTTGATATCGTGATCATGTCATGTCGTTTCTTAGGCCGGGGAGATTAATAATGAACCTTCAAGTTCAACTCAAGGGGTCTGGTCACTCCATTATAATTGAAATCAATGTTGGCTGTAGAAGATGGTTTTAAGGGAGGAGAACCCTTTTTCTCCTTTATTTGAAATAGGTTGGGTTTGGATGAAAGTCAGAAGAGCTGAGAGCCTGAGATGGATGGTGACATTTTTTTTTTCCTGTGCACGCGTACTCCTCAACGTCATCAGCCCGGCCCCGCTGTACAGGTAAACCCTCTGCATCCATTTGTCTTATTCAGGATATGGCTTAAATGCTACAAGATTTCGTTATATCAACTTTATATATTTAAAATACTAGTTTCCCATTGCTGAAAATGCCCAGACTCAGACTGGTACACAGGCTTCCAGTTCTCAACCTTTCTTTAATTATGATTATGGTTATGGTTATGGTCCCAAATTAAAAATGCAGGCTTTATGCAACGAATAAAGATGGTTTGTTCTGGAAAAGTTTAATGGTCGAAAAAAGGAAAGGGATGTAATATTATGTTGGTCCATCAACACCACCAACTGATCATCATCCCCATGGAAATGCCCACTCATTTCCTTACC